CAGTCAATCTCAGGCACTGAGTTGAAGCATGGTAATTCTAAATAAAGTGTCATGAGGCCTCCAAGCTTCATACTTGATTGTCGGTGGCAGAAAAGCTTGAGGACAACAGGACTACGGTGTTAATGGAGCTTGATAGTTGGGGGCTGACCTCCAGGGCTTGTTACGAGTCCTATCGGTCTCCCGTCTGACCTCAAGGACTTTGTGGGGAGTCCCTTTGGTCTCTCAGCCAACCTCCAGGGCTTTGTTGTGGGTCCTGTTGGTTTCCTGGCCTGCCTCCAGGGCTTTGTTGTGGGTCCTCTTGGTTTCCTGGCCTGCCTCCAGGGCTTTGTAGCTAGTCTTGTCAGTCTCCTCGCCGACCTCCAAGGCTTCGTGGCGAATCCCGTTGGTCTCCGAGCTGGGCTCCAGGGCTTCGTAGCAAGTCCCACTGGTCTCTTGGCCGACCAGCAGGACATGCTATGAAGCCCTGGAGGTCAGTCCAGAGACCAGCGGGACCTGCAACGAAGCCCTGGAGGCAGGCCGGGAGACCTATAGGACCCGTAACAAGCACTGGAGGTCAGCCAGGAGACCAACGGGACTCACCACGAAGCCCTTGAGGTTGGCCGGGAGTCCAACAGGACTCGACACAAAGCCATGGACGTCAGACCAGAGACCAGCGGGACTTGCTATGAAGCCCTGGAGGCAGGCCGGGAAACCGACAGGACCTGCAACGAAGCACTGGAGGTCTCCAGGCCGACCTCCAGGGTTTTGTGGTGAGTCCCGTTGGTCTCCCAGTGACCTCCAGGGCTTCGTGCCAAGACCTATGGGTCTCCCGGCTGACCTCCAAGGCTTTGTTGTGGGTCCTGGCAGTTTCCCAGCCTGCCTCCAGGGCTTCATAGCAAGTCCTGTTTCTGGTCTGATGTCCAGGTCTTCGTGTCGAGTTCCGCTGGTCTCTGGTCTAACCTCCAGGGCTTCGTGGTGAGTCCTGTTGGTCTCCCGGCTGACCTCCAGGGCTTCGTGGTGAGTCCCGTTGGTCTCTCGGCCGACCTCCAGGGCTTGTTACGAGTCCTATCGGTCTCCCGGCTGACCTCAAGGACTTTGTTGCGAGTCCCTTTGGTCTCTCAGCCAACCTCCAGGGCTTTGTTGTGGGTCCTGTTGGTTTCCTGGCCTGCCTCCAGGGCTTCGTGGCGAATCCCGTTGGTCTCCGAGCTGGGCTCCAGGGCTTCGTAGTAAGTCCCACTGGTCTCTCGGCTGACCAGCAGGACATGCTACGAAGCCCTGGAGGTCAGACCACAGACCACCGGGACTTATCACGAAGCCCTGGAGGTCAGACCAGAGACCAGCGGGACTTGTTATGAAGCCCTGGAGGCAGGCCGGGAAACCGACAGGACCTGCAACGAAGCACTGGAGGTCTCTGGTCTGACCTCCGGGGCATTGTGGTGAGTCCAGTTGGTCTCCCAGCTGCCCTCCTGGGCTTCGTGTCGAGACCTATAGGTCTTCCGGCTGACCTCCAAGGCTTTGTTGTGGGTCCTGGCGGTTTCCCGACCTGCCTCCAGGGCTTCATAGCAAGTCCCGCTGGTCTCTGGTATGACCTCCAGGGCTTTTTGGTGAGTCCCTTTGGTCTCTCGGCTGACCTCCAGGGTTTTGTTGCGTGTCCTGTCAGCCTCCGGAGTCTCGTCGTGGGTCCCATCAGCCTCCTGGTTCTTGCGCTGCCGCCGGCAGGTACTTGCTCCACTGCCAGTGTTGCAGGTCCTATCGACCTCCCAGCCAGGCTCAGGAGGTCGGTCAGGCCCGGACACATCTCCAGCATCCCCAAGGTTCCTGTTCTGCCGCCAACATCCACAAGGTACTTACTCCGCTGCCAGCGTCCTCCATGGCTGGTGTTCACCAGCATCCTCCATGGCTGGTGTTCACCAGCATCCTCCATGGCTGGTGTTCACCAGCATCCTCCATGGCTGGTGTTCACCAGCATCCTCCTCAGATTCTTTTGGTGTTCCTTAGTTGTTCCCATTTAATTCTGCCTTGTTTCCACATCTGTTCTTCATTGGTGATTCTAATTATGTTTATTTCTTGTTTCTAGTTATTTTCCTTTGTTCTAGTTTAATTAGGTTCCTTTAGACTCCTTACTCCTTAGTTTTTGCATTTTGGTTGTTTCCCCTTTCTTCCCCCCTTTTCTTTGCCACTTTCTCTATCCCTTCACAGTCTGCTTCCACTCCCTCCACTCACACCTGCTCATCAGCCAAGGTCCTGCACAGTGGTGCACTTGTTAGCGCTGTTGCCTTGCAGCAAGAAGGTCCTGGCTTCAATTCCCAGCCAGGATTCTTTCTGCATGGAGTTTACATGTTCTCCCAATGCATGCGTAGGTTCTCTCCGGGTACTCCGGCTTCCTCCCAAAGTCCAAAAGCTTGACTGTTAGGTTAATTGAGTTCTGTAAACTCATCCTTATGTATGGATGTGTGCATGCCATTGTTGTGGTCAAGACCACCTGAGACCAAGACAAGACCAAGACCAGTGTATCAAGACCGAGACAAGACCAAGACTTTTAGGGTCCGAGACCAAGTCAAGACCAAGACCGAGGGAAGTCGAGACCGAGTCAAGACCAAGACCAGCGGCCCGCACTACATGACACAATAAAATGCAAAATATGATCAAAATTGCTTCTCAAATTGACCTGAAAGATCCATATTCCCATAAAAACACCCATGTCCCATGCTTGCGGCAAGTAAGTCAACACCCCCGCACAATAATTCAACGCAGTGAGTTACTTTTTTTCATCACAAATGCTTATGTCTCTATACAGCTGGCTTTGCTAACATCACGTCAACGGAGCTTACCTTTCTTTGAGCTACTTTTCTAAGTGACGAAAAAAGTTAGACGTTGTCCACACCGTCTGTGAAATCGAAGGGTTGCTGAGTTAGTGGCCATTCTTATGATTTATGCTGCACTGTTATATTACTGACGATTAGACAGACATCTTCTGCCGCTGAGATGAAACCACTGCGCATGTATTGGAGCGCCGCGTGCGAGTGAAAGGTGGGGAGAGGGAAGGGGGAATAACAGAAACTTTATTGCTTGGATTTTAATCAGTGCGTTTTGCATCCACTGAAAACAATGATGTTAACAAATAAACTGGACAGTATACTTTATGTTTAGTGATATTTTCACAGTTGCGGTCTCGACTGGTCTTGAAATAATTTTGCCGAGTCCTCAGAGCCCGAGACCGAGACAAGACCGAGACCAAATGCAGTCGAGTCCGAAACCATCAAAAAATGGTCTCGAGACCAAGACCGATCTCGAGTACTACAACACTGGTGCATGCATGGTTGTTTTGTCCTGTCTCTGTGTTGCTGGCAACCTGTCCAGGGTGTACCCCGCCTCCTGCTAGAGATACACAGTGAAAAATGCTGGGTTATTTTTATAACCCAATTTCTGGGTTGAAGCTGTTGGGTCATAGGTTGGGTTAGTGCTATATTTATTTTTAGGAACATAAAATTACTCTGAACATTTTAAATATTGCTGGCTAATTACAAGTTATTTGCAGTGGAGACAGCTATAAGATATAATTCAGTCATTCTTAAAGTTTGATTTGTGATTTTGTCTTTTCTGATAGATTTTGTAATTTTACATCCAGGATCTTCAGGAGAATTAACACAGTAAAAAAGGCTGGGTTATTTTCATAACCCAACTTCTGGGTAAGAGATGCTGGGTCATATGTTGGGTTACTTTGACCCAATATTGGTTCAAAAGTAGTGACCCAGCGGTTGGGTTGACTTTTTTTTGTTTGTTTGTTTTAATGAACTCCACTTAACTGATTCTGTTAGGTTCAGGTTCGGTTGACTCAACACTTTACCCAATTGGTTGGGTCAAATACAGTTCATATAAAAATCCATTGCCCTCTTCACAAACCTCCATTTTCAACTGGACTGTGACCTGATCAGACAACACTGGACTTCTCAGTTCAAATAAAACATGGTAAGTTACAATATCATGGTATAATATTTTTAAAGTTAATAGGGTTATTGTATTCTTCATATACTACAGATCTTTGAAATTAAATTTATGTAACTTTAATTTAATTATTTGATTTAACCTATCATCTTCGTTGATAGGGTAATGTTTTTGAAATAATTAATTTAATTCAAAGATAATTTATCCAATTTGGTTTAAAAACAAAAGGTGAGGGTGTGGGAGGGAGAGATGGCGCTTTGCCCCCTGGTTTCCGCTGGCCTCGTTCACTAGCACGCGCAAAAGGTGGTAGCTAAGCTAGAATGCTAATAACGGATCTATAGCGACAAGGAGGGACTGGAGGCTTGCAGTAGCGGTGTCCGAAGCGATCAGTACAGAGTATACAGGTATTCATAGTAATATATCAGTAATATAACTGTTAAATGCCATTTTCATTAAGCCTTTTATTTCTTACTGAACACACTATGCTATGCTATTATACGGTTAACCTGGGTGAAACCGATTGAGGCAGTGGAGAAGAAAAAAAAAGTATGCACCAGCAATGGCAGAGGAGGGGAAGCTAAAGTTGGATATTATGCTTTCTGTCAAATAAAAATAACTTTTACAGATTTCTAGTGAAGATTTAACTATGTAACAATAAAATATCTGCTTATCATAGGACAAGACAAAATGGGATATGTGTGTTTTAAATGTGGGATGTCTTTAGGACATAAGGATTTTTTTTTTCTCATCTAAGAGTAATTCATAATACATATTCAACTTCAAGATATTTCCAGTGTGCTCAAAGTGGATGCAAACGTACATTTAATCATATGAGATCATTTAGGCGACATCTACTAGGGCATGCTATTGAGTTTGACACAGAAATAAGAGAAACTAGTTATGTTGGACATTGTGAAAGAACAACAAGTCCTCATTTGAGCACCATATGCAATTTAGAAAGTGATGAGGCAACATTGGAACACTGGGATGATTTGGAGGATGTGAGCATAAAAGACAGAGTTGCACTCTTCTTAGCTAGATTGAAGGCCAAATCCTCACAGACCTTAAGTGGAATCAGAGATGTTGTTGAAAACACATCTTGTCTGATCAGTGATCTAGTTGGCAACCTAAAGAGAAAAACTGCTGCATTCTTAAAAGAGACTGGACAGACTGAAACTCCAAAAGCTGAGAAACTTTTAGAGGAGTTTACTTCAGCTTCTGAACCATTTAGAGGATTTGAATCAGAATACAGACAAATGAAGCATTTCACCCAGTCAGGGTACTTCATACAACCTGAAGCAATTCCTTTTCCTGGCTTTTCATATATGCAGGGAATTGATGGAGAGACAGGGAGAGTGAAACAAGTAGCAGTACGAGACACTTTTCAGTATGTTCCTCTCAAATCTATGTTAAAAGTCATTCTTGAAAGTTTGAAATTATTGTGGAGAGGATTATCATCATTGACATTACAATGGTGAGTGTAACTATGGGTTCATCAACTTTAAATGATTATCATTAACATTGTCTGTCTTGATTGTGTGAATACTTTTTTATACAATGTTTATATATAATTAACATAATTTCTATCATTTTGCAGTTTCAAACTTTAAATTTACTCTGGGGGTTAATATTTCTTATATTTGTATTGTAAAGACATCTAGCCCTAAAACAACTGAAGATGCTGATCCTACACCACATGCTGAATTAGAGAGTGGAGTTTCTTCTGTTGGAAGAGCAGCATTTGTAAGTTAAGCTGCACAATCAACCTTTCCTACATAACATATTGACATCCATTCTTACTAATTAAAATTAAAAATGACACATCTCATCTTTTCTTAAATTTCTAAGAATATTAAACTGCAGCTAAATAACAGCTATTTTATTTTTCACATTAACTATTTATCTGTAGAACATCCGTGAGACCTGTGGTTATCAGTCTTGATGGAAATCAGCATATATCCATTCGTGAAAGACGGTGCATGGTCAGAACACTTGTGTCACACCTGATGGATCAATATGGAGAAAAGTGAGTATTTCTTCTAAAACTAGATCAATTCGGTTGTTTTTTGTGACATTTTGCTCTTGGTGAGAACATTAACGACATTGTGCTGTGCTCACCTAAGTAACATTTCTCCAGTAAGAAGTCTTAAAGTATGTGTTGGGCTAATAAAAACTGGATTTTTTGGAAATTGTTTGTGTTTTAAGGTTTCTGCTCTATGTTTTCATCTTACAATAACTAATTAAAATAAAATATTTTACTTGCCTGTCTTACTGAATGTAATTTTTTTTTTCCAGCCCATCTTCAGACACTAAAGCAATTCTGGCATCTTCAATTGTGGACCAGTTTCCATGTTTAAGAGACAGCCATGGCACAGGATATGTAAGTTTTCACACTTCAGAGAACTAGCACACAAGTACTTCAACAACTTGCACAATGGTTAGCATTAAATATCATTGTAACTATGGTGTTTGAGCTTTGAGTTGTAGGTTTAATAAAAATTTGGACATTAAAACAGAAAGGCTAACATTTAACTTTTATATTTATTTTGTTAAAAATGTTCAGGACGCCTGGTTTACCTGCGGAAGACAACACAGGCCAGCAACTGGCTTTCTGGAGGAGCGTCTCCGTAATGTAAGGAAAAGGCATCAACCAAGGAAGAAGATGCTTTCAGCCCCAGAAGCTCCACCAAAAAGATTAAGTTTGCCTGGTACTAGCACATGGACTTTTTCCAAGCCCCTATTGTTTTGAGCAGCAATCTAAGCTCTTATCATTGCTGTGAATTACCTCACATTTTTTTCTAATTTGTGTAATACTTTTTTCCCCACAGAACCAACCATCAGTGCTGAGCGTGCCATCCAGATGACAGAATGGCTAAAAAATAACTTCTGGCCCGCAGACCAGGTTGTCCAATACATGCGGGAAACTGCAGTATATCGCGCAGGATGGATCCGCTCAAGTGGGACAATCCCAATGCAGCA